TCAGTTGTAAAACTGAATTTTTTTATTTCTATACATTTTGCCCTTGACTTACCAGTTAAATAAAATTATTGTTGAGATAATCGACGGGAACTTTCACTGTTTTTGTTTCAGGTCTTAGCGAGTTGCGTCTGAAGTTTGCACAGACTCTGCGCCAGGATGTTCTGTGGGCTTACTGTGCTGTGGAGTGCGTGACATACTGGCATGGTAGCAAAGAAGTACGTGACATAGCAACTCAAATCAAAGAGAGAGATAAAAAAAATAAACATGTTTTTGGGGGAAGATTGGAAAGCATTTTCCAAGTCGCTAAAAACTAGATTCGTAAAGGAGCTATGTCACGGTTTGCATATGTTGAAAAGTTTAGCCTAAATTTTTCAAGTTCGTTGTTTGTAATCCGTGTTAATCTTCTCCATCCTTAAATGTTCTAGTTTCTTTATGGTTCATTATTATCTCTTTGGTGTTTTTCTATCTTAGTAAACTATTATTTTCAGGTTTCTTTTAATTTAAAGGTAATTTTTTTTCATGGCCAAAGTAACTCAAAATACCGGGACTGAGCTCCTCACGCCGCCTGTCGCCCATTGTAGTAGGGAGGATTTGGCCAAATATCATTTCCTCGTTATAATTCTTCTGATATACTTGACTCTGTTTTGACTTTGCAAGGAGAACGCAGCTCCTGATTAGCCTGCGTACCTGGCGAAATTTTGTGCGAGGACCTTGTTTCGGCGGCGAAAGTGGTGAAACTGTGTGGAGAACGGTGAATAGTCAAGGGGTCTACGAAGCGAAGCACTCGTTCGCGGAATCGCGCCACCTATGCAGGCTGAATGTTGATGAATCGTGAGCTTTCAAAGGAAATAGTATGAATTTTTCAGGTCGAAAGGTGATAAGATTGATCGACGAAAACGTTTTCCTCTTTTGTTTCCAATTTAGGAAACCAGCAAGTTATTTTTTGCTCTGGAGCACTTGAGGTGTATACACTGTGCGGCGTTACAACACGGTATGTCCTCAGCTCAGAAGAGTAATTCTCTTTACTGTAATGTTACTTGTGAGAATTTGATAATACATTAACACAATATTTCACTGATTTTCTGTTATATTCTCATTACCTGTCTTCTTGACGAGGTATTGATTTAGTAAGGCGAAATTTCATTTTGACTAGTGACTAATTTTTCTGTGAAAGGGTGGTGCCCAAAGAGCCCAAGATATTTTTTGCAGAAGGGCCCGAAGTGATAAAATGGGAACTGGGACAGAGAACCACAAACAAAAACGTGGTGATGGTACTGGCCGATTTGGGCAAAACATAGGCTGAGAAATGGGATTTTGGCAAAATTTCTGTTGGGAGGAGGCAGACCAGCTGGTTATTAACAAATATGACCAAGGAGTTGAAGTACGGTCTACCGAGAAACAACTCCAGCTTATTAGTCAGAGGGGGACTTGAACCCGCGACCTTCGGATTTCAAGTCCGGCGCCCTAGCCACTCGGCCACGCTGCCTCCATCAAATGTGATTTATTGACAGGATGTCCAGAATCAAAATTGCCGTTCTGGTGAAATTTTGAATCTTCTCTCATTATTATTGCTGCGTTATAGTAGTTATTTCTTTGCTCTCACCACTTTGGGCGTTTTTTCTTTGTACTGCGAGGTAATAAAGCGAGATTATGGCAAGCTCCCTACCATACTCTTTAAAACATGCCAAGTTCGGGATCCGCTGCTGTTCTGTTTTCAGAAGATATGTGGCACAATCGGTTCTCCAACATAAATAGATATGTTGCCTGGTTTGGTTTAGTCTTATTTTTTCGTTGTTTTAAAATTTCAGGCCTGGCAGTCACGTTATGGAAAAGATATTTCAAGGAGAAAATATCAGCGACAGTTATGCTGATGGAGAAGGTTTGTTGATTATTTCCCATGTATATGGCTAGCTCCTTGAGCGGACAAAATAAACCGAATCCTGCGCTGTCATTGGCTACCCGAGCGGGCAAGATGGCTCTATCTTGCCCGACTACTCGCTGTGTCCCGCAAGATCAATTTTCCCGAAAGCCATATAATAAATCCTGTATCGACCAAGCTTGTTCTGTCAAGATGGCTTGACATTGGCCTCGTTCTTGTCTTTGCGTGTTTATGGACGGAGACAGAGTCGAGGTCCATAAACACGGCAATCTCCCGCAGTCATTTTAATACTGGCGGACTGGCAAAGAGTTTCCGAGTCTTCTATACATTTACATCAGCGCTACAATGTCACGTTTAAGGCGCTCAGATAAAAGTTTAGAAAAACTGAGTAAACCAAGTTGAATTTATGAGGACCACCCTCAAATACTAGTGGTCTGATGGTGTTATTAGTGGCAACTTTTCTCCGAATACGACCCTAACGTATATTAAGATTCAAAAGATGACCCAAAGGCCCACGAGAATGTCTGGAGGACTTCCGAATATTTTCGAGTGTTATTAGGAATTCATCAAATACTTCCGACAATCTCCCGAAGATTCCTAATTTCCTAACACCTTCGGAGTACTCGACTGAATTTCTTGANTTTATGGACGGAGACAGAGTCGAGGTCCATAAACACGGCAATCTCCCGCAGTCATTTTAATACTGGCGGACTGGCAAAGAGTTTCCGAGTCTTCTATACATTTACATCAGCGCTACAATGAATATGACCCTAACGTGTATTAAGATTCAAAAGATTACCCAAAGGCCCACGAGAATGTCTGGAGGACTTCCGAATATTTTCGAGTGTTATTAGGAATTCATCAGATACTTCCGACAATCTCCCGAAGATTCCTAATTTCCTAACACCTTCGGAGTATTCGACTGAATTTCTTGAGGAAGATTAGTCGAAAGGTCTACGAATGCTCCTGCGAGATCATTGCATAAAATCCGTGATTTCTATTGATGTTGTGTGACTTGTTCTTGTAGGTTGGCAAAGCACCCAAAGATCGACTTTGCCGAAAGGTTTGTAGTGTTTCCTTTCAAACGTCCCGATGGCAACCGTTTACTTGTCTGAAAACATTTCTTTGTCCTCTGGTTACAAGCGTAGAAAATACATCAGCTGCTACGTATTCCAGATGGAGTCACTGCTTCTCTTGGTATCCTCTTTACGGATGTTTTTAGAGCATTTCTCAAAGCGTTTGTCAATCAACCTCACAGACTGTTTGTTGTATTTTAGTGTAGGTAACGAAGAAACCAACTAGTCTCTTTAATTTCTAAATAACTTTTTCACAGACCGTGGATCTAAGTTTTACTGCACTGGAACAGTTCCTGAAAGCCACTGTACAACTTCTGGAATTGATAGTTGAGGTAAGTTGAGAGGAGTGAAAGCCATTCCAATGAAGCCTATCATATTATTACCATTTGCCAACAAATTTTTATATCGTTTGATTCTCTTTCCGACGGAACTGCTGCTCTGCGAACTCATGGTCATCGCCTTATTTTCTCAGTGATTCAGGCGTTCTGAGTCAGTCCTCTCCAGGTTTCTTGTGTTGTGTTCTTGGGCGATAAACCAATTTGCGATGACGGCTTGAAGACAAATATTCTCGAAGATGAGACACTGAATTCCGAAGATTGTCAAAAACCCCCACAGATTTTTGAATGCGTCTTCTTCCAGAAATCTGTAGTTTTACAAGACCACTTTGAAACACATAGTGGTGTGTCATTTTATTTCAACTTGTGCACGAAATCATCTGATAATGTATAATTATTTCTATTTTTATTAGGTTGACTGGGTCGATTCTGAGATAATCGACCTAGAAATGGAGGATTTCTGGCACGCTGGCGAAACGTAAGTGCAAACTTCTTAACTTTCTCTAAGCACCTCCATCCGCGACTGACCGTTTGTGTCTGGTTTGGTTCCTAGAGGTGCAAAGTCCCTCATTGAGGAGGCCCAGGAGCAGCCAAAGAGTAATGGACCTCTGGTAAAGCTCCATGCCAAGCTGGTCACTGTTCTGTGGATAATAATGGGCCTGGACATGAAAAGTGTTAAACCGCTGACGCTCTTCGATACAACGGTGATGTTATGTTGTCTAGCTCTGGCGCTAGGGGGCGGGGAATTCGGGGGATTCGGTCAAACCACCTAAATTACAAAAAAAATGATGAAACATTATAAAACGCTGACTTGGCCTCAGACTGCTGAAATCCCATTTCCAAGGATCTCAATTTTAAAAGTTTTCTGGGGGAAGATGCCCCCGGACCCCGTTACAGGGCACTACATTCGGCGGACCGTATCTCGAACCCCGATCTCTAAAATCCTGTATCCACCCCAATGGCTTTCATTTTAGTCTTTTAAAAAAACACTTATTTGGTGGTTCGTAAAATTGGAAGTACCTTAATGACTTTCATTTTCATGATGGGCAGGTAACACACGCAAACAATCATAGATTCACGTGGTTCGAGTCTAAGAGTTGTATTCTTGCGCAAAGCACTTTACTGTCACAATACGTCTCTCGCCCAGGAGCATTAAGGAGAACTGCTGAAATGTTAGGAAACCTGACATAATTGTCGATAGGGATGGGAGGGGAGACTAGGGGTAACTGGTGATATACTAGAATCCCCCAGGGGTAGTAGCAACACTCTTAGTCACCTGAGGAGCAGAGCTAAACAGTGGTACTGATGAACCACCTTGTGTGGAACAATTTGCAAACCGCTGTTTTCATTGACATTTAGTTGTAACTGTTTACAGAGTAAGGATTCATTCATGAGGGATTTCAGCTCCACCCGTCCATTAGCGTCTGACGATGTCGACAGGTCCATTGTTGAAACAAGAGAAAAGGTAAATCATCACTATCAACATGATCAGTTCATTCTTGTCGTGTGGGAAATAGGATGCGGGAAATCATCTCTGTCGGTCGACCTCTATCACTCACAACATTGCACGCTACGGCTCAACTCCTGTAGCTCTTTCTCCATCTTAATGATCTGCTCTTACTATACAATTCCCCGGGATTTCACGGTAATCAACTAAAACTGTGGCAATGGCAGCAGATGTTCTGTTATTTTGGGGGGCATGTATTTTTCTTCGAAAAGTTCAACTAATCTGGCCATCGTAAGTCATTAGTTTCTAACGGTTCTTCTCATTTTCTGACTCCACCCTTGGTCCCAAGGGCTGGAGAACGTCATTCCAAACTCATTTGTCCCTCCCCATTCCTGTGCAATGTTGAGAAAACACTTTCATCGAATACAAGTTTGCATTTTACCATTTTAACTTATGATTTCATGTTTTTGCACATTTTCCAACACAATTTGTCAATACTTGTAACTTTCTTATATTCTAATTGAGGCCGTGATTTGATGTTCTCGAAATCGTGACTAAAACTGTTTATTTGTTCAAAGTACCTTCACCTTCTTGTTTTTTGTTGATTTATTTTGAAAGAAACCTGTTATTTTTTTTCTGTGTGTGTTTTTTTTCTTTTTTATTCCAGTTCCTTACTCGTGCCCTGTCCTTCACGGTGAGCACTATGTCGACCCAGTCCTCGCACAAAGTTCTCGGACGAGAGGACAGTGACAATGATAACCTGAGAACGATGTCTGGCACATCCTCTAATGACTGGCCAGCGGTGATTTACACGTTCGCGGAGCAGTTTGGGATGGACAGTGATCCGCTGAAGTGCCATATCGTGCGTGAATTGTACTCCGCTGGCTTTGATAACGTTGCAAAAGAGGTATTGAATGATATGTTGGTCAAAGTTAAACAAACATTTTTGTTATACATCCCAACTCAAATACGTTTTCCGATTGGAGGAAAACGTGTCACGTGTCGTGGGTCAAAAGACACTAACTCTTTAGGGCGAACAAATCTCACTAACTCCCTAGGGAAACAACAGCATGAACTTTCGACTTGCACGTGATCAGGTCGTGCTCCTTGAAACCACGGCGAATTTGTGTGCCAGCTGGCGCAAAGCAAACGATTTCTTCTTAGTTTTTTTTCTACTTTTGAGTTGGGAGGTACAACAAAACACTTAATGACTGGCCCCGCGGGAAACAGTAAGTTTTGTTTCCCCTCGACCTTCAATGTTCCCCTCGGCTTCGCCTTGGGGAACATTGAGGGTCTCGGGGAAACAAAACTCACTGTTTCCCTTGGGGCCAGTCAATAAGTGCTTATTCTTCACTTCCGAAATTCTTTCCCCCCTCGAGACATTTGAAACTGGATCCCAAACCACACTGAAAACGTCACTCGACTGTCTCTGATTGAATGTTGTTTTCCCGCGAAAATTCAAAACCGAGCAACACCCAATCAGAGACGCTTCACGGATCTCTGTACAGTGACGTCATCAGTATTGATTTTTTGGGGGGTCAAATTTCAGACTCGTATCGCCTCTCGTTTCATATCGTCTCTCGAGCGGAGGAAAAATTACGCCCGCGATGAAGGAAGTTTGTTGAGTGAGGCTAATAAGGGCCTGAAAACTGAGGTTCCATTACACTAGGTTTACATTCAGTGATTTTAGATGTCCTTTGAAATATCACTTCCTTCCTTCTTTTTTCGCCAGACCATGTTCTCCGTTCACGACCAGCGGGCCCTGGGTTCACAGCTCCTAAGAATTGTGGGACAGCGGCTTGCCTACGTCATCCTGGATGCTTCAGAGTCCTCTGAACGCGCCAATCGCTTGTCACGCCTGCCAACGCAAATCAGCAGCTGGATCAAGTCACAAGTACTGTAAAGAAAATTGTCTCTTGCAATTTGTGGTTTCGCGCGCTTTCCATTCAACCAAAAATTCCGTAACTTTCGAAAATCCAGCGATTGTCAGAATTCTAGGAGGAGAATCATTCAACGGAAAATTCCGAGAGCAAAGTCAAATAGAACGAAAGTTCGATCTCGCGAGATTGTCTTTTCTTCTGTAAATGTCAGAAAAACCGTTCCATTCGCCTCTGGAAATTTCCAGAAATAAAACCGGGATTTTTGGTTGAGTTAAAAGAATCTTGAAAGACAGTTGAAATACGACGCGCAGCGGGGAATTTTTGGCGAAAGTCGAGGTGTTTGGAAATGTGATAAAACACTTTCTTGAGTATGACATGCCATCTCAATGGAATCTAAAACTAAAGAGTAAACAGAGGTTAAGTCTTTGGTAACCAAAACCACTGTTACGGTTATCATTTCCTTCGATGTAACTAACTTAGTGAATTACTGATTAGTTTGCGTTGAGAATCTTTCCTCCATTAAGGTTGGTTTTCATATGATTGCTAGGATCGCTGAAAAACAGTTCGTTATACATGCACACACACACATATATATAGACCTAAACTTTATGCACTCTCGAAATTACAGAGCAGCATTTCTGCTCATTTGTTCGAGTTACCTTATCATATTAGTGGCGGCGCGGTGGCCTCATGGTTAGAGCGCCCGTCTCCGGATCGAGCGGTCTGGGCTCGAGCCCTGGCCGGGGACATATTGTTGTATTCTTAGGCAAGACACTTTACTCTCACAGTGCCTCTCTCCACCCAAGTGTAGAAATGGGTACCGGCGAATTTAATACGGGGGTAACTCTGCGATGAAGTAGCATCCCATGCAGGGGAGAGTAGAAATACTGCTATTCGCTTCATGCTACAGAAACTAGGATAAGCTCAGACTTTACCTTTTACTTTACTCAGTCTCGACGAGCGTAACGATCATATGGAAACCACTTCAAAGATTGTAGCGATCGTTCCAATGATAAATATACAAGAATTCACTGCGTCGCTGTTTTATCCAGGTCCTCTCTTTTTTGTAATTCTTCAGCGACCGTGCAAACCAGCTTGTAGTGACAACACAGCAATCTTTCTAAAGTGTTTTTCTCTTTCTGTTTCAGGACCCGTCTAGATTGTCATGTCGTAAGGTCCCTCTCTCGCACACTGTTGATCTTCTGCGTGTAGTGCTAAGCCTGACACCGCAAGACTCGCCCGACTACTCTCTGACTTCAGGATTGGCCGAGTCCATCAAATTCCTCCTCTAGACATGAAGGATAACATTATCCAGTCAGTTGGCTGTCGTGTTTGGCTAGCGTAGCTTCCGTACACATCCTTGTGAATTCGGCAACGAAGGTTACGTTTTCAGCAGAATACAGGGTCCGATGTAATCCTTCGCCAGACTTGGAAAGATGCGTTTCCAAAACCTGGAATAGTTTCTCCACAAACTCAACAGTTCAGCAGCCTCACGCTTACATTGCAATCAAATTCAACATTGGAAATGGCGTTGTATCGTCAGGTTAAGCTAATCATAGGACCCAAGTGCGTCTGAAGTCCGGATTCAAACACGCAAATCAAGACCTCAGTTTTAGCCTGACGAAGACGAGGAATCGTGCCAAACATATTCATTTAGCACAGTTATCTCACAATAACTCCAAAAGGGGCACTAAATTTCCTCGTATTTTAAACGTTATTCCATTTTCGCTTTCCCACAGAGTACCTCACAGCTCAAGTTTCAAACTGCTTCCCACATAGAGGTACTAACAAGTATCGTTTGTTATCGTTTATATCGCCGGGGGGAAGCTAGTTACTCTTGAAGGCCTTTTACGGGAGGCGAGGAGGACTGTTGTCGTATTCCCGTCATATTTAGCTAGCTCACATAAAAGAAAAGGTACAAAAGAGTTTTTAATATTTGTTTAATAGTTACTACTAAATTAGCTTGCATAAGAACGACAACAGAATACAAATATGCTGAACGAATAAAGGCTCGATTACCAGCCGCTGTTCGGGAAAGGAGCNCCAGCAAGTTATTTTTTGCTCTGGAGCACTTGAGGTGTATACACTGTGCGGCGTTACAACACGGTATGTCCTCAGCTCAGAAGAGTAATTCTCTTTACTGTAATGTTACTTGTGAGAATTTGATAATACATTAACACAATATTTCACTGATTTTCTGTTATATTCTCATTACCTGTCTTCTTGACGAGGTATTGATTTAGTAAGGCGAAATTTCATTTTGACTAGTGACTAATTTTTCTGTGAAAGGGTGGTGCCCAAAGAGCCCAAGATATTTTTTGCAGAAGGGCCCGAAGTGATAAAATGGGAACTGGGACAGAGAACCACAAACAAAAACGTGGTGATGGTACTGGCCGATTTGGGCAAAACATAGGCTGAGAAATGGGATTTTGGCAAAATTTCTGTTGGGAGGAGGCAGACCAGCTGGTTATTAACAAATATGACCAAGGAGTTGAAGTACGGTCTACCGAGAAACAACTCCAGCTTATTAGTCAGAGGGGGACTTGAACCCGCGACCTTCGGATTTCAAGTCCGGCGCCCTAGCCACTCGGCCACGCTGCCTCCATCAAATGTGATTTATTGACAGGATGTCCAGAATCAAAATTGCCGTTCTGGTGAAATTTTGAATCTTCTCTCATTATTATTGCTGCGTTATAGTAGTTATTTCTTTGCTCTCACCACTTTGGGCGTTTTTTCTTTGTACTGCGAGGTAATAAAGCGAGATTATGGCAAGCTCCCTACCATACTCTTTAAAACATGCCAAGTTCGGGATCCGCTGCTGTTCTGTTTTCAGAAGATATGTGGCACAATCGGTTCTCCAACATAAATAGATATGTTGCCTGGTTTGGTTTAGTCTTATTTTTTCGTTGTTTTAAAATTTCAGGCCTGGCAGTCACGTTATGGAAAAGATATTTCAAGGAGAAAATATCAGCGACAGTTATGCTGATGGAGAAGGTTTGTTGATTATTTCCCATGTATATGGCTAGCTCCTTGAGCGGACAAAATAAACCGAATCCTGCGCTGTCATTGGCTACCCGAGCGGGCAAGATGGCTCTATCTTGCCCGACTACTCGCTGTGTCCCGCAAGATCAATTTTCCCGAAAGCCATATAATAAATCCTGTATCGACCAAGCTTGTTCTGTCAAGATGGCTTGACATTGGCCTCGTTCTTGTCTTTGCGTGTTTATGGACGGAGACAGAGTCGAGGTCCATAAACACGGCAATCTCCCGCAGTCATTTTAATACTGGCGGACTGGCAAAGAGTTTCCGAGTCTTCTATACATTTACATCAGCGCTACAATGAATATGACCCTAACGTGTATTAAGATTCAAAAGATTACCCAAAGGCCCACGAGAATGTCTGGAGGACTTCCGAATATTTTCGAGTGTTATTAGGAATTCATCAGATACTTCCGACAATCTCCCGAAGATTCCTAATTTCCTAACACCTTCGGAGTATTCGACTGAATTTCTTGAGGAAGATTAGTCGAAAGGTCTACGAATGCTCCTGCGAGATCATTGCATAAAATCCGTGATTTCTATTGATGTTGTGTGACTTGTTCTTGTAGGTTGGCAAAGCACCCAAAGATCGACTTTGCCGAAAGGTTTGTAGTGTTTCCTTTCAAACGTCCCGATGGCAACCGTTTACTTGTCTGAAAACATTTCTTTGTCCTCTGGTTACAAGCGTAGAAAATACATCAGCTGCTACGTATTCCAGATGGAGTCACTGCTTCTCTTGGTATCCTCTTTACGGATGTTTTTAGAGCATTTCTCAAAGCGTTTGTCAATCAACCTCACAGACTGTTTGTTGTATTTTAGTGTAGGTAACGAAGAAACCAACTAGTCTCTTTAATTTCTAAATAACTTTTTCACAGACCGTGGATCTAAGTTTTACTGCACTGGAACAGTTCCTGAAAGCCACTGTACAACTTCTGGAATTGATAGTTGAGGTAAGTTGAGAGGAGTGAAAGCCATTCCAATGAAGCCTATCATATTATTACCATTTGCCAACAAATTTTTATATCGTTTGATTCTCTTTCCGACGGAACTGCTGCTCTGCGAACTCATGGTCATCGCCTTATTTTCTCAGTGATTCAGGCGTTCTGAGTCAGTCCTCTCCAGGTTTCTTGTGTTGTGTTCTTGGGCGATAAACCAATTTGCGATGACGGCTTGAAGACAAATATTCTCGAAGATGAGACACTGAATTCCGAAGATTGTCAAAAACCCCCACAGATTTTTGAATGCGTCTTCTTCCAGAAATCTGTAGTTTTACAAGACCACTTTGAAACACATAGTGGTGTGTCATTTTATTTCAACTTGTGCACGAAATCATCTGATAATGTATAATTATTTCTATTTTTATTAGGTTGACTGGGTCGATTCTGAGATAATCGACCTAGAAATGGAGGATTTCTGGCACGCTGGCGAAACGTAAGTGCAAACTTCTTAACTTTCTCTAAGCACCTCCATCCGCGACTGACCGTTTGTGTCTGGTTTGGTTCCTAGAGGTGCAAAGTCCCTCATTGAGGAGGCCCAGGAGCAGCCAAAGAGTAATGGACCTCTGGTAAAGCTCCATGCCAAGCTGGTCACTGTTCTGTGGATAATAATGGGCCTGGACATGAAAAGTGTTAAACCGCTGACGCTCTTCGATACAACGGTGATGTTATGTTGTCTAGCTCTGGCGCTAGGGGGCGGGGAATTCGGGGGATTCGGTCAAACCACCTAAATTACAAAAAAAATGATGAAACATTATAAAACGCTGACTTGGCCTCAGACTGCTGAAATCCCATTTCCAAGGATCTCAATTTTAAAAGTTTTCTGGGGGAAGATGCCCCCGGACCCCGTTACAGGGCACTACATTCGGCGGACCGTATCTCGAACCCCGATCTCTAAAATCCTGTATCCACCCCAATGGCTTTCATTTTAGTCTTTTAAAAAAACACTTATTTGGTGGTTCGTAAAATTGGAAGTACCTTAATGACTTTCATTTTCATGATGGGCAGGTAACACACGCAAACAATCATAGATTCACGTGGTTCGAGTCTAAGAGTTGTATTCTTGCGCAAAGCACTTTACTGTCACAATACGTCTCTCGCCCAGGAGCATTAAGGAGAACTGCTGAAATGTTAGGAAACCTGACATAATTGTCGATAGGGATGGGAGGGGAGACTAGGGGTAACTGGTGATATACTAGAATCCCCCAGGGGTAGTAGCAACACTCTTAGTCACCTGAGGAGCAGAGCTAAACAGTGGTACTGATGAACCACCTTGTGTGGAACAATTTGCAAACCGCTGTTTTCATTGACATTTAGTTGTAACTGTTTACAGAGTAAGGATTCATTCATGAGGGATTTCAGCTCCACCCGTCCATTAGCGTCTGACGATGTCGACAGGTCCATTGTTGAAACAAGAGAAAAGGTAAATCATCACTATCAACATGATCAGTTCATTCTTGTCGTGTGGGAAATAGGATGCGGGAAATCATCTCTGTCGGTCGACCTCTATCACTCACAACATTGCACGCTACGGCTCAACTCCTGTAGCTCTTTCTCCATCTTAATGATCTGCTCTTACTATACAATTCCCCGGGATTTCACGGTAATCAACTAAAACTGTGGCAATGGCAGCAGATGTTCTGTTATTTTGGGGGGCATGTATTTTTCTTCGAAAAGTTCAACTAATCTGGCCATCGTAAGTCATTAGTTTCTAACGGTTCTTCTCATTTTCTGACTCCACCCTTGGTCCCAAGGGCTGGAGAACGTCATTCCAAACTCATTTGTCCCTCCCCATTCCTGTGCAATGTTGAGAAAACACTTTCATCGAATACAAGTTTGCATTTTACCATTTTAACTTATGATTTCATGTTTTTGCACATTTTCCAACACAATTTGTCAATACTTGTAACTTTCTTATATTCTAATTGAGGCCGTGATTTGATGTTCTCGAAATCGTGACTAAAACTGTTTATTTGTTCAAAGTACCTTCACCTTCTTGTTTTTTGTTGATTTATTTTGAAAGAAACCTGTTATTTTTTTTCTGTGTGTGTTTTTTTTCTTTTTTATTCCAGTTCCTTACTCGTGCCCTGTCCTTCACGGTGAGCACTATGTCGACCCAGTCCTCGCACAAAGTTCTCGGACGAGAGGACAGTGACAATGATAACCTGAGAACGATGTCTGGCACATCCTCTAATGACTGGCCAGCGGTGATTTACACGTTCGCGGAGCAGTTTGGGATGGACAGTGATCCGCTGAAGTGCCATATCGTGCGTGAATTGTACTCCGCTGGCTTTGATAACGTTGCAAAAGAGGTATTGAATGATATGTTGGTCAAAGTTAAACAAACATTTTTGTTATACATCCCAACTCAAATACGTTTTCCGATTGGAGGAAAACGTGTCACGTGTCGTGGGTCAAAAGACACTAACTCTTTAGGGCGAACAAATCTCACTAACTCCCTAGGGAAACAACAGCATGAACTTTCGACTTGCACGTGATCAGGTCGTGCTCCTTGAAACCACGGCGAATTTGTGTGCCAGCTGGCGCAAAGCAAACGATTTCTTCTTAGTTTTTTTTCTACTTTTGAGTTGGGAGGTACAACAAAACACTTAATGACTGGCCCCGCGGGAAACAGTAAGTTTTGTTTCCCCTCGACCTTCAATGTTCCCCTCGGCTTCGCCTTGGGGAACATTGAGGGTCTCGGGGAAACAAAACTCACTGTTTCCCTTGGGGCCAGTCAATAAGTGCTTATTCTTCACTTCCGAAATTCTTTCCCCCCTCGAGACATTTGAAACTGGATCCCAAACCACACTGAAAACGTCACTCGACTGTCTCTGATTGAATGTTGTTTTCCCGCGAAAATTCAAAACCGAGCAACACCCAATCAGAGACGCTTCACGGATCTCTGTACAGTGACGTCATCAGTATTGATTTTTTGGGGGGTCAAATTTCAGACTCGTATCGCCTCTCGTTTCATATCGTCTCTCGAGCGGAGGAAAAATTACGCCCGCGATGAAGGAAGTTTGTTGAGTGAGGCTAATAAGGGCCTGAAAACTGAGGTTCCATTACACTAGGTTTACATTCAGTGATTTTAGATGTCCTTTGAAATATCACTTCCTTCCTTCTTTTTTCGCCAGACCATGTTCTCCGTTCACGACCAGCGGGCCCTGGGTTCACAGCTCCTAAGAATTGTGGGACAGCGGCTTGCCTACGTCATCCTGGATGCTTCAGAGTCCTCTGAACGCGCCAATCGCTTGTCACGCCTGCCAACGCAAATCAGCAGCTGGATCAAGTCACAAGTACTGTAAAGAAAATTGTCTCTTGCAATTTGTGGTTTCGCGCGCTTTCCATTCAACCAAAAATTCCGTAACTTTCGAAAATCCAGCGATTGTCAGAATTCTAGGAGGAGAATCATTCAACGGAAAATTCCGAGAGCAAAATCAAATAGAACGAAAATTCGATCTCGCGAGGTTATCCTTTCTTCCGTAAATTTCAGAAAAACCGTTCCATTCGCCACTGGAAATTTCCAGAAATTAAACCGGAATTTTTGGTTGGGCAAAAAGAGCCTTGAAAGACAGTTGAAAATACGATGCGCAGCGGGGAATTTTTGGCGAAAGTCGAGGTGTTTGGAAATGTGATATAACACTTTCCTGAGTATGACATGCCATCTCAATGGAATCTAAAACTAAGGAGTAAACAGAGGTAAAGTCTTTGGGAACCAAAACCACTGTTATGGTTATCATTTCCTTTGATTTAGCTAACTTGGTGAATTATTGATGAGTTTGCATTGAGAATCTTTCCTCCAGTAAGGTTGGTTTTCATATGATTGTCAGGATCGCTGAAAAACAGTTCGTTATACATACACATAGATATACCTAAACTTTATGCACTCTCGAAATTACAGAGCAGCATTTCCGCTAATTTGTTCGAGTTACCTTATCATATTGGTGGAGGCGCGGTGGCCTCATGGTTAGATATAGTGCGCTCGTCTCCGGATCGAGCGGTCCGGGCTCGAGCCCTGGCCGGGGACATTTTGTTTTATTCTGAAGCAAGACACTTTACTCTCACAGTGCTTCTCTCCACCCAGGTGTAGAAATGGGTACCGGCGAATTTAATACGGGGGTAACTCTGCGATGAACTAGCATCCCATCCAGGGGAGAGTAGAAATACTGCTATTCGCTTCATACTAGGATAAGCTCCGGCCATAAGCTTATGGGCCACTTGGCTCGTATGCAGACTTTACCTTTTTACTTTACTCAATCTCGACGAGCGTAACGATCATATGAAAACCACTTCAAAGATTGTAGAGATCGTTCTAATGATAAATACACAAGAATTCACTGCGTCGCTGTTTTGTCTAGGTCCTCTCGTTTTTTGTTTTTTGTTTTTTGTTTTTCTTTTTTTGTAATTCTTTAGCGATCGTGGGGATCATACGAAAACTGGTCGAAAGGTTCGATCAACTTTTTTCTCTAGCGATCGCAGTGCAAACCGGCTTGTAGTGACAACACAGCAATCTTTCTAAAGTGTTTTTCTCTTTCTGTTTCAGGACCCGTCTAGATTGTCATGTCGTAAGGTCCCTCTCTCGCACACTGTTGATCTTCTGCGTGTAGTGCTAAGCCTGACACCGCAAGACTCGCCCGACTACTCTCTGACTTCAGGATTGGCCGAGTCCATCAAATTCCTCCTCTAGACGTGAAGGATAACGTTATCCAGTCTGTTGGCTGTCGTGTTTGGCTAGCGTAGCTTCCATACACATCCTTGTGAATTCGGCAACGAAGGTTACATATTCAGCAGAATACAGAGTCCGATGTAATCCTTCGCCAGACTTGGAAAGATGCGTTTCCAAAGTCTGGAATAGTTTCTCCACAAACTCAACAGTTCAGCAGCCTCACGCTTACATTGCAGTCAAATTCAACATTGGAAATGAACGTTGTATTGTCAGGTTAAGCTAGTCATAGGACCCAAGTGCATCTGAAGTCCGGGTTCAAACACGCAAATCAAGACCTCAGATTTAGCTTGACGAAGACGAGGAATCGTGCCAAACATATTCATTTCGCACAGCTATCTCACAATAACTCCAAAAGGAGCACTTCGGTTAATTTGGGGGCGGGGGGGAAACTTTTAAATTCCCTCGTATTTTAAACGTTATTCCATTTTCGCTTTCTCACAGAGTACCTCAAAGTTCAAGTTTCAAGCTGCTTCGCACATAGAGTTACTAACAAGTATCGTTTGTTATCGTTTATATCGGGGGAAGCTAGTTACTCTTGAAGGCCTTTTACGGGAGGCGAGGAGGGCTGCTGTTGTATTTCCATCATATTTAGCTAGCTCACGTAAAAGAAAAGGTACAAAAGAGTTTTTAATATTTATTTAATAGTTAGTACTAAATTAGCCTGCATAAGAACGACAACAGAATACAAATATGCTGGACGAATAAAGGCTCGATTACTAGCCGCTGCTCGGGAAAGGAGCCCGCGCTCCTCTTCGGGAAGACGCGCGGGGACTGGACCCGAGAGAACGGCGGAAATCGACCCTAGGACAAATAGGTTCGATAGAATACATATATTTCCCTCAAATATTTTTCCTGTTGAGAAAATGGGAGGAGGGGTGGTTTTACTTGTTAATCGTAGACGGGCTTATAGGGAGATAATGGCATAAAAGAGAAGAGTTTATATTTAGGTTTTACAGTCAAAAATCAATAGTCTTCCATAGAGATCCAAATTGAAAATGGGTATTTTAGTAAAAGGATGTCGCACGAAAAACTGTAATTTTTTGAAAAGGAAATGAATGTAAGAACAACTATGATGTTGCCATATGTAATAAAAATTGAACAGGTTCTTTAATCACTTGTGATATTTTTT